GTATTGGCCATGAAGCGGTTTATCTTGCTATTATTTCTGTATCTGGTCGGTTGCATTCGCCTTTACTGTCTTTTTTAGGTATTTTGCAGTTTCAGCCGGTATATTGTGCTGTAGTTGCATCTCTACGCCCATTTGAAACTCCATTTTGAATTTGTTGGCTTCTTTCATTACGGTGTAGAGACGCTTACTACTTTCATGTTCCTTGACGCATACCATCATCCAGTCTTCTGTGGTTTCCAAATATCTTTGGAGGCCAATTGTTGTAGTTTTGTAGGACAATTCTAGTTGAACTAATCCTCTGCCTCCTTCGGATCTGGGCACATACAGACGATCGACATCAGCTTTGGGACGATGCATGCGATAGCAAGTGAGAAGCTTTCTCATTTTGGCGTCCATCCGCTTAATTTCAGCTATGGTCCAGTTAAGGACATTAAAGCTGTATTGCACCACAGGGACAGCCAATGTGTTTATGGCTGATATCCTGTTTTTAGAGTTTAGCTCAGTATTTAGTACCAGACGTACACGCCTGTAGTACTCTTTTCTTATTTTTCCTTCATTTGGGGGTGTTGTATGCCATCTCCTTCGCTAATTCCTAGGTACTTATAAGCTTCATCATGCTCCAGTTCCCTAATCTCTGTGACAAAATCTAAATCTATTAAGGGTGTTTCTGTAATTTTACCTTTCTTGAAAGTTACTTTTGCACATTTATCTAATCCGAAGTCCATACCTATGTCGTCACTGAAGTATTTTACAATATTGAGGAGGCCTTTCAACTCATTGTCGTCTTTGGCAAAGAGTTTGAGATCATCCATGTAGAGTAGGTGATTGAATATTTTCTTATTTATTTTGTAACCATAGCTACTGTTGTTCAGTTCATGTAAGAGGTATTAAGGATAAACAAAACAGAAGGGGTGACAGAGTTTTTTGAAAGATTCCCACGTCGGATATTCAGATGGTTGTATATGGCAGTGCCCCCGGTGTGACTAAGGTATAGTTTGGTGTTCCACATTCCCATGCTGTGCTTAAGGAAATTTAATACCACAGGGGAGACTTTGTACATTTCCAAAGTCTTAAGGGTCCATGAATGTGGAACACTATCAAAGGCTTTACGATAATCAATCCACGCTGCACTTAGATTCCTGCGTCGTCTCCTGCAATTTTCCAGGATCATTTTTTTATTATTATTATTATTATTATTATTATTATTATTATTATTATTATTATTATTATTATTATTATTATTTATATTTCTTATGGCCGAGTGGTTAGAACGTTTGCTTTCTAACCATGAGACCCGGGTTCAAATCTCATTATGAGGAATCACTATCAGGAAGATGCCTTCTTGATGTTATCAGTCTGCAGAAGGCAGTCCCAATGGGCGGCACCTTTGGAAAGTGCCTGAAAATCATATCACGAGTTGACCCACGCCTTGTGAATGAAATTGAGTAGACGGAACCTTTGGGAGCCGTCGGTAGTTGTGCTAGCGCGAAGTTATAAGTCATTGTGACCGAGGGTGTCAGCGTGCTGGCATTGTTCAGATTGTTGATCACGCTGGATAACACGCTTCTCTCCCAGAAACTGCAACTAAGGTCTGCTCAGCATAGTTGCAGTATAAACCACAGGTAGGCTCTGTGGGTGTTGAACAAACACAAATGTGCCAGAGCAAGCATCTGTAATGGGGATCAGCTAGCCACCCTAGTAATCTGGCATCCTTGGGTTTGAGTGGTTGCGCCATTTACCTATTTATTTACATCATACGGTTATAACATGCTTTTGATAGCAGCTTCATTTATTATGGCCCTTAATACACACACGCAAACACACAGACACACACACACACAAACACACACACACACACACACACATATATATATATATATATATATATATATATATATACCGTAGTGCACATCCTCTACCCACTCTAAGTGTCGACCGCTTCGATACGGCGCAAGCATAAGACAGTTCGGCCAACGGGCTGCGGTGTCGAGGAGGATACTAAGTTACTAGACAAAATTAACCACAGCTCATTATTCCTGGTGGTGACACTTCTCCAAGCATTTATAACCTAACAGGACTGGACACCGAGAGCAATAACTTCCTTCACCAAGCCGCTCCATCCAGAGCATTAAAAGCTGGATCCAGCATAGAATATATTATAGATTAATAATTACGGGATTTGTATAATTTCATAATAATTCATCATCTGTAGAACCGGAATCCTTATCGCACACACAAGCAGAAAAATCACTGAACTTGTCTGGGTTCAAATGTCCCTTAAGGAATTCTGTTCTTGATCAAACCAAACTCACACTACTACATACCGATCTAGACAACTTACGGTACACCTATCTGACCATAGCTCCATTAGGACTCATTTAAAAACATACAAAAACCTACAAGACCTACCAACCGAAACATACTAGTAGAAAATACAAACATAATATCCTCGTTCACGTGTAAAAATGATTAAAAATAATGGAAACTCTAATAATAAAAAACACCCCAAAAAGTCAACACTAAGTAACATTAAATATGAACACGGCCACAATGTATATATATATGAAGAAATATAGTCTTAAGATGTGCTATATTCATGGGATAAAGTGCTCAATATCAGAGATAGAGCATGTGCAAATATAAAAGTGAACACTGAAGTCAACACTTAGAGGCGACAGTCTGTTTCATGCTAGATGTAATCGTCGTGGCCTGACGATTGCATATAGCATGAAAAAGACTGTCGCCTCTAAGTGTTGACTTCTATGTTCATTTATATATATATATATATATATATATATATATATAATACATAAAAGTTAATGGTCAGAGTTGAATTAGACCAGGAGACCGTAGTATTAAAAGTGCTCAATACACGTGTGAAAAAAATAATAATATAAAACTAAAAAATATCCTGTAGAGCTTTTAACTTTCAAAATTAAGAGATCAGTTGAATCCGCCACCTGGTTTCAACCAGACGGTATTCTCGGGCGATTTTTATCAACTGACCTTCCAGGGCGTTATTTTAAAAAAACCCAAAATCAACTGAACTCTATATTATTTTTAAAAATAAATACTCAAACGCACGACTTCGGGTGTAATAGAATGAGAGGAGGAGGATGCGAAGAAGACTAAGAAGAAGAATATGTAGAAGAAAAGCAAGGGTATTATAAAAGTATCGGTTGGGTGGGGTAACTGAAATGTACATTCTTTTTTATCCAGCCTCAGATGAGCTTAAAAAGAATTTGGCATTTTTGCTAATTTTTCCTGTTGGCAGAGGTTGCAAATATTATTGTAAGGATTCGCCTTTTTAAAAAATTTTGTAGTTTACAATCGGATCTCTGCTGTATTTTTCTTTTAAATTCCGCACATGGTTAGCTAGTTTATTAGAGCTCCTAAGACTTACTAGACCTATGATTGTACCATCTTCATTTGAAAATACTTTCAGTACATCATATGTACGCTTTATTCTGGCCATTAATATATATTACTTATGCTTTATAGGTTATTGATTCGGCTTTACAAGCTCCATTTAATGGACATCTATTTTTATTTCTACAGTTGCATAAATTATTAGTGTTAACTCTATTTTGCTGCGCGTTAGTTTTTGACATTTCTGGCGTTTTATCTATTTATTATTGTTTCTAAATTAATAATGGAGCTGTAGCTTAATTTATCTGTGTTTTTGTTGAATATCTTATGTAATTCTGAATTTTGGGGGAAGTGTTTAGTAAGTAATTTGAAAAATAACTTCCTTATTTTATATTTTACCTCTAAGTTAAAAGGAGGTGAAACTTTTCTCGAATTGTTCTTCATATGTTGTTTAATTTGAGGTTTAAATTCTAGTTTGGTTTTGCGAACGTCTAGCTTATTCTCATATTCTTTCATTTATCCTAAAAATTATTTTACTAGAAGAGTTTCTGGATAACTTAGACTCTATTCCTTTAGGGATGTGCTTTATTATCTTCCCAGGATGGTTAGATCTAATATAAACGTATTTTAGTTAAAGGGTGGGGTCAACTGATAAATTCGCCTGAGGATACTGCAAGGTTAAAATCAATCTAATTTTTAAACTATATATATATATATATATATATATATATATATTAAAGAGAGAAAAATCCGCAAATGTTTTTTAATATAATATGGATTTTTTAATATACTTTATTCTATCGAATAAAATATATTAAAAAAATCCACATTATTATAAAAAACGTTAATAGTGTTTATTATAAACAGAGCATTTACTTAAATATTTGTATCTATGAAAAGAACGTATAAACATAAAAAAATATATATATATATATATATATATATATATATATATATATATATATATATATATATATATTGTTTCACCCCTTTGTTGGTAGCGACTTTAGCTGCAACGTGTCTGTCTTTCGTTAGTCATGTAGCCGAAAATGCTACACTACTCTAGTACATATATGAAACGCCGTTATTTAAAAGCAGTGTAAAACAGACGACAACTCACATGGTAATGGCTATGTTAAAAATGAATAATATTTCTAATGACGTATATTTTTAAAAAAAGTATTTCTCCCATTTTAAATTAGAATTAACAATTATCTTTTATGAGATTCTGAATGTTGGACAAAATGAAATAATATGGTTGGCTTATTCGAAACGCTCCAATAGAAACACAAGAATTTCATTGGACACAAAAGAGAAAGTACGGTTACAATAGAAATCGGATCATGAAATGGGAAACGAATTCATCCCTTGGAGATGAGGCGTGTATCCATCAGTCTTCACCGTCCGGATTTTGCGCGCGACAGATGGGTAGAAGCCGGTTAAGAATTTCATATTTATTTCTAGAGTCTGCAAAAAAAAAAAAAATGACTGAAGTTTACATCCTGTGATATGATATTTTACTCGTGGAAGAACGCTTAAGTAATTTTATTGGTATGTCTCTTTGTGGGTAGGTATAAGTAGCAATTATGATTTTGGTGTTGCCTTTCGAATTTAGGAGGAAATTTGTGAGAATGTACAACGAGGAAGTACAATCTATCTATCTATCTATCTATCTATCTATCTATCTATCTATCTATCTATCTATCTGCGTCTAATCATATCAATAAACTTTGTTCATTATCTATCTATCTATCTATCTATCTATCTATCTATATATATATATATATATATATATGTAAATTTTAGTCTATTCATAACAATATATCGCACTCTCTTCATTATCTATCTATCTCTTTCTCTCTCTCTCTCTCTCCACACACACACACACACACATATATATATATATATATATATTAGAAGAGATGGATTCACACCTTTTTCCAAGAGTAATGCAAAGAACACAACTGTGGCACCCCCCCACACACATATATATATATATATATATATATATATATTAGAAGAGATGGATTCACACCTTTTTTCAAGAGTAATGCAAAGAACACAACTGTGGCATACACACACAGATACACACATATATATGTATATGTGTGCGTGTGTGTGTATGTGTGTGTGTGTGTGTTCCACAGTTGTGTTCGTTACATTACTCTTGGGAAAAGGTGTGAATCCATCTTTTCTCCATTCCCAGGTATGGTTTAATTAGTAGAACTTGTATCAGTAAAAATCATTATTATCTAAGAAATAAATAAAATATTTCATTATAAAAATATTGTCTGGCTTTAAATAACCTTTAAAAGGTTCATAAACCGTAAAAAATGTACTCAATACGGGTAGATTTGTGAAAACTCTTTTGATACCTTCGACTGGAACCAAAATGGCGAACACGATGTATAAAAACAATATCAAGATTATTTTTTGTGTCAGTTGAGAGCAAACCCTTTTATTTTAAGCAAGAAATGATACCTGAATGAATAGTAAGAACTTGCTTCGAATTACAAGCTCACTTATTGGACGTAACTCTGCTGCATACCTTATCGCTTCTGCTCGCCCTTAATTTACCTGCCATAATAAATAGGTTTACGTCTTATATTTCTTGCCAGTCTTAATTTAGTTTCCCATTGATCAGAAGCCAAGACAAGAAGAGAATCTGTTTGCTTTTGATAGGCTTTTATTATAGATACTATGAATTAATATGTTTTCTATGACCCTCGATCGCGTTTATGCCGTTTTGAAAACTCTAATTTTTTGACACTTTTTATATAATTGTTGTGGTAGGATCCACCTAATTTGCATAGTGGAGTACCGACCATATAAATATGGTTGGTACCGGGAAGAGAGGGGGGAATCAAGAGATTCAACCAGAGACTCTGCCCGACTGCGACTCAGTCAACACATTCTCCAGGAACGGTCTTACCAGGAATATACAAAAGACTATATGTAAATATTGTGTACACTTTCTTGTTTCAATACATTTTGTTCTAAGTACATTTTGTGTGCATTATTCTTCCATGCATTAGTCAAGTTTCAACAATAATAAATCACAAAATGACAGAAATATTTTACCTAGCATTCTCACAAGCAAATTGACCAACTGGAATCGGTAATTGACCTCTGACATTTTCAACTATCAAGAATTATAAACAAGGGACGGCATTGCAAAAAAAAAAAAAAAAAAGTTCGTTTGGCTTGTAAGAGAAACGTTGTTACGTAAGGATTTATTTGTTCAGCTGTTCGTCGGGTCCAACGATGACTCTATTTTGAAGTTAGGAACTTGCACAAAAGTAGGGATTATGGCGAAGGTGTAGATGCGCAGTCCTCACTCCTACCATCTTCACTCCACCAGAGGAATTTTTTTCTGGAGGCATGGGAAATCTCACAACTAGCAGCGTATGACAGGAAATGCAGGGAACTGCCGGAGACCCATCTGTTTGGACCTCGACAGTGCCTGTTCCAAACTACAAATTTGTGGTCAGTTTACACATCTGACCACTGAGCATCCAATGTTTATCAATGTAGAATTGGCACTGTGGTAGCTGGAGAACGTCTAGGGTCTATTGTAGTCGAAGATACCCCAAAATTTAGCCTGGGAGAGCAATACCCCAGGTACAATGAAATGAAATAGTGATAGCACGTACCCTGAATCCATCATAAAATTTCGGAATATTGAATTATTAAGTACTAAACACTATAAAAAATCTCGGTGTATGGTTTAATTATAACAAATTTAGTATGAGAGATAAGGAAATTGAACCGAAAATAGACTGCTCTAGAAATAGTTTGAACTGTAAAATGATGAGAACTTGCCTTGGTGTATGGTTCAGTTATGATAGATTTAGTATAGAACAATGATTCCTAACGTGGGGCGCATACCCTACCGGCGGGTATGGTAATATTTTTGCAGTGCATGCGTAAGATGTGAGTCTGAGCAAGAGTTTTAATGTTAATACGTGTTAATACACACAATGCATATAGGGTATCAATTTGAATTCAGAGTTGCCCTTCTCCTAGATCAGTTGGCATCCAAGGCTATAGAACCAAGTTTGTCCTGCTATTTACCCATAGCAGGGGGAGGAGAAGAAGATTCATACCTTTCCCAAAGATATTAGCAAGTAAGTGAATGGAATGGATTCGACTGGAATTCAAAATCGGCTCTCCGATTCCTCAATCCGAGCCGCTATACATTACTCCACCGCGTCTTATCTATCTATCTATCTATCTATCTATCTATCTATCTATCTATCTATCTATGTGTGTGCGTGTGTGCGATAGGAAAAAGAACAAGTAGGGAACAGATCTTAATCTAACATGTTTCAGTTTATTAAAGCTTCGTCAAAGATCACGGTAGAAACGATAAAAATGATTAAAATCAAAGACGTAGATTAATATATATATATATATATATATTATATATATATATATATAGGTGCCGTATTTCTAAATCAATTTAAATTAATTGGAAGGAGATTGTTTTTTGTTTGAAATTACAAAACATGGCTAATTTTAACCATATTTAAAAATTTTCTCAGCAAAACTTATTTTAAACTAAAAGTAAATAATAATTGTTTCAAATCAGATGAATTAAACTTTAAATCAGCTAATCTTTCTCAAATAAAGATTTAGAAATGTGAGTTTTTTGAATAATTTCTAAGAGAATTACGTAATTCTCATTATTAAAAGATCTTTCAAAAATAAAATGTACTTTTCTGAAACTTTATATGAGGAATATTAGCAAATTTAAAGTTTAGTTAATCGGATTTGAAACAAATATTACTTAATTTTAGATCAAAATATCACAGAAAAGCCCATTTAACTGCAAGTGGGCGTTTTAATGAGATTCTGACAACTATTTCAATAGATTTATATTTGTAATTTTATCTACGGGGGACACATCTGTAAAAATTACTTAAAGAATATAACGTGAGCGCCTTTTTTATGTAATTTTTTAAGTAAAATATTATGAAAATAGTCTAATCTAATGGTTTATTGAATTTCAGGTACTTTGGGTTTAAATTTACTAGAGTTACCGCTCTTATTTTCTGATAATGTCGTGTAGTCTGAAAAAAATGTTTTAGACTGTAGATATTACGTTTCTTCTGCAGTACCTATATATATATATATATATATATATATATATATATATATATTTCCAACCTTATTTTAAATCTTAAATGATAATCTGAGATTAAATTCAAATTTGTAATTGCACTACAATTGATTTAAATATTTTAACTCAATAATATTCCACCCCAACAATAATATATCTCGCGTGAACAAAAGAATTAAAAAAAAGTGTCATCCAAAAATATAAATAAAAATAAATATAATATTTCTAGCGCTGGAAAATTGCTTCGGTATGAAACTCGGAGTTGTGCAATTAATGTAAGATATTATGTATATATTTCTTTATATATATATATATTATATATATATATATATATATATATATATATATATATATACTAAAGAAATTAATAAAAATTACCTCATATGGGAAATTTCAGCAGACGATGATATCGGTCGTCTGTCTTATCAACCTCAGCGTGGAATGAGTTCACGTCTATAGAGTTAGATAAGGCAGGAAGAAGAATTTAACTTCGCCCAAAACATCTAATGATGGAATGTATCTGTCTTAAAAGAAAGAAGTTTATTTAAAAAAAAAAACGAATATTTACCTTAAGACATCAATTTGGAGTTATAAGAAAAAAAAGAGAAATAAAATATAAATCCAAAAATAAATTAATAAAGCCTACAAACTTTATAACCAAGCGACTTTTTTCTTTTTTTCGTAAAAAGGGACTGTATTTTGCTTTTAAATCTAAATAAATCGTTCAAGCGCCAGTAATTTATAATCGCCTGATGAGATACATTGATACAAATCGAAACACAACTGCAATTGTGTAGCGATTTTGTCATGTGTTTTGATGTAATATTCTAAAATAAAGACTATTGCTCTACTTTGTATTAAGCTCTCTTTTAAATTAAATGTTACGGACGTTGGAATTGTAATCTATACGTTATCTTATCTGTATATATATATATATATATATATATATATATATATATATATATATATATATATATATCATTTCCGTTAAGTTAACCATCTAAATAGGTCACGATTAGGTCCTCCTCCTACCCCAATATAAAACATGCTTAAGAGAAATATGAAATTTACCCCTCTTTATATTATACCTTGTCTCGTTGATCACCCTCCCTATTAAATTACAGAAATTACACTACCCATCAATTTCTAATCCTATTTTTCCTCTCATTTCATTGTTGGAAGTGTTACCTGATGATCCGGAGTCCATCAAAAAGGTAATGGTACCTTAAAGTGGTCTTTTTTTTTATATATATATATATATATATATATATATATATATATATATATATATATATATATGTATGTATGTATGTATGTATATTTATGAATGAAAATGACAATAGGAAAACTGGTAATTGCTGACGCGTTTCGTCCAATTACCAGTTTTCCTGTCGTCATTTTTTATTCATAAATATTGTCTTCTCTACTGGTTAAGTCGGAGAAATTTTCATATATATATATATATATATATATATATATATATATATATATATATATATAATAATGTCATATAATGTGATATAGAATGGGTTCTAGTACTTTCGACTGTTCTGTCATCGCCATACAGAAAGCATAGAAATAAGACTGATCCTTTCTCTTCATCCAAATAGGAATGGGCCTTCCATGGATTTCCACCTAATTTAGTTTGATTTGCATCGACACCAAGAAATATCGATTAACATAAGCCAGCTCATTCTTTGTTTGTTACATTCAATAACACAATTTGCTGCCTAAGAATACATTAGCCAATACGTATAAATATATATAATATATATATATATATATATATATATAGAGAGAGAGAGAGAGAGAGAGAGAGAGAGCGAGAGAGAGAGCGAGACAGCAATACAGAGAGGATATATATATATATATATATATATATATATATATATATATATTAGAGAGAGAGAGTGAGAGAGTGTGTGATAAGGAAAGAGAGAGCTGCTATTATTCCAACATTATAAACAACAGCGATTCTTATTAAAAAATAATGACATATTTACTGTATTTTCTTTCATAATATTTATTGAATTAAAAAATGAAAACAAACTAATCAATGTATATATATATATATAGATATATAGATATATAGATATATATATATGTATATATATGTTCATTGTGCTGGCATAATTGTGTTATAAGGGAATGAAAGAATTCCTTTGTTGATTACCAACTTGAAAGAAGCGAAATAATTTTAAAAAAGAAACAAATAAAAAAATAAAACAAAAAAGAAACAAAATGGAATTACAAAGATATGCAAAACAAAAAGCCCGCTGGATGCCCTCACTGACCTTTCTCGGTTTCCCTGATAAGTGCTAACACAAATATTGTAAACAGGATGTCCATATATCCATATATCTTTGCATATTTACGTACTGAGGTCAATGCGTCCTTTGTTTTTTCTTTTTTTTTTTTTTTTGCTTTCAAAATACGTCTCGTATATAACGCGACGCGGGAAAATGTTCACGAAGCTGTATTTGTTTTGGTTTCGCATATGTTTTCTTTTCCTTTTTTCCAAATTATAAAAATAAAGAATTTTTATTTCTATTTGAGTTTGACGCTGTGAATTAGAAGGATTAAGAATGGTGAGAAACATTTTCAATGAAATTTACATTAGGATTTTAGAAGCATCATATTATACCAGAAGCTAATTTCATTTATAAATATGTCTATACTGTCTATAACATATACAGTATATACTCGCTCATCATGCGACATTTGGGGATCTAATTTTGAAGCTAATTTGACTGCAGCAAATTGATATACCGGGTGTAACAGCAAAATTGTCCAACTCGTGTAACAGCAAAATTGTCCAATTGTTAGATTAAGCTCTGAACCGTTGTATCTTAGAAATGATTAACGATATCTTACTGGAAGTTTTTATAACTGTATTGGTTTCTACTTTGAGCAATAAGAATGCATAATTACTATCCAAGGTTAACAGAAGTATAGTGATGAAATCGATTATAAACGAAAATGGTATGTTCATCCTTAATTAATCATATCTAAGGATCGGAAGTATAGTTTATATATATATATATATATATATATATATATATATATATATATATATATATTATTCCAGGATAATTTTCCAACTTATTCAAAATGATCTTCGCCCTCTCTAACCTTCTAACTTTCTGTCCTGGAGTAACAAGGTGCTTCACACGTTTCACGTATGATCTCATTTTCAAGTCTTTCCCCCCTACTCTTTGAACTGTGATAGTTGAAATTCCTTTCTCACATGCCAAACGTCTTATGAATTGATTTGGATCTTTTCTAATTGATCTATTTATCTCTAAGTTGAAATGATGATCCCTCTTCCTGTTGTGACCTCCTGATCCAGTTTTCCTTTCTACCGTTCTCGCTTTTTTAAACTTTTTCACCTTTCTCATGGTTCTTGAATAGACTTTGAAGATGGAAGCCAGAGTATGAAGGTTGGTAACGTTACTAAAGGCCTGAATCATCTTTTTCCTCTGACTATTGCTCAGTTGGGAAGACATAGTGGGGCTCACACAAAACGATTTTAACCAGCTCTCTTTCTAGCTGAATAGCTCCAAGGAGTTTTCAGTGATTCTTACGACAAATGGTGTCAAGATAGCTAAACGTCTTCTCTGAAAACCTGGAAAAAAGAAACTCAGTTAGTTAAGTGTTTTTTTTTTTTTTTTAAAGATATTAACCATTTTGTAGGATGGATAATTATGCTGTTACACGATTTGGACAATTTTGCTGTTACACGATTTGGACAATTTTGCTGTTACACCTGGTATAGTTTGATCAACAGCGTAGCCAGAGTCAGCTGTACATACGCTAATTTTATATCTCGTGTATGATACGACCACCTTAAAATTAGCTTCAAAATTAGGTCTTCAAAAGTCGCCTGGTACGCGAGTATATACGGTAATTTATTTTGTGCAAACTACCATTGCTTTCAATTCTTGTTAGTAGTCACTTGCCATTTTTTCTGTTGGAAATCTTCAAGTGATAGGTGCTTGTTATATTTTTAATCATTTCACCCCAAGCAAGGCAATAAATCTACTAAGACGTAAAGTATTTTGAGTAGGAAAGGATAAGAGAAAAAGAAAAAAAAAAGAACAGAAATTAAAAAGAAAGAGATAACGACTGACATTGTATTGCATTTAAATCTTTGAAGATCAAAATTTATTGGAAAGCAAGAAGTCTGAAAAGAATTCCACAACCGAGAAGTGCGAGAGAAGAAACTTGACATAGAACTAGTTACATCTAGCCATTAAAACTGTAAAAAGATGAGACCTAGCTGCCAATCTAGTACTGCGCTTAATGGAGAGAATGTTAAATTTCTCGATTGAGTAATCCTATATAACAAGTTTTAGAAATAATATTGACCTGATTCTATAACATTCTAAAAGGTAATGGAAACGACAATATGTGATTACCACGTACCGCAATAACTCATTCCTTTTGCAATCATGGTGAAAACAGCTGAGCTTGACAAGAAGCTTAGAATGAAGATAGTTAAAGCGTTTAAACACGAATGGATATTCAAATGATGCATATTCCACACTTTCCGAGCGTTTAAATGTTCCTAGATCGACAACTCGTAGCATTATCATGAATTACAATGTTACTCATTGTGTAAATTAAGGACTGGCAAAAAACGGTCAATTTCTGAGAGAATGGAAAGGAAAATTGTCTCGAAGAATCGTTACTTAACGACAAAGGAGATTGTCACTGATGTAAAGATATCAGGGTTGAATGTATCAACGAATACAGTCACGAGATGCTTTCATTAAGCAGGACTTCGGGCTTGTCTGTCAAGGAAACTACCTTTTTTGAGGCCAAATATCTACAGATCAGCTTATGCTGGAAGCCATCTAGAACATGGGCGAGAATGTTTTATGGTCAACTAAAAGCAAACTAGAATTAATTATTTGGTCACATGAACTCTCGTTATGTATGGGGAAAAATTAATGAAGCTCACAAACTAAAAAAAAAAATAACCTTCCTACAATTAAGCACGGTGATGGGAGAATTCTGCTCTGGGGATTTTTTTGCCGCATCTGGACCAGGAGAACTAGTGAGAGTATAACGTGTCATGGATAAAGAGCAGTATTTGTCTATTCTTAAAAATGATATAAAACGAAGTGCAGGAAAGCTGTCTTTGGGGCGTTACTGGGCGTTACAACATGACAATGACCCGAAACATATGGCACGAATTGTTACAAAAATACTTAGATGATAGCAAAATAAAGGTATTGGCGTACTCTGTACAAAGTCTTGACCTAAACCACATTGAAAATGTATGAGCATACTTGATGAAAAATGTAAAAGAAAGATTTCCTTTGAATTTTGAGGAACGAAAAACAATTGGCAAGGTCTTGTGATCTTGAAGGAACTATGGAAAATGATTGAAGGCAATAATCAAGAATAAAGTTTACACAATTGATTATTGAGGCAAGAGGGCCAATAATTGTGTCCTATGGTAAATGATTTTTAGTGTTTTTTTATTATAGTTTGACATTAAAATAAAAAATTTTCTTGTGGGCATCCCTGCACATGCTTCAAATCCATTATTTCATCAGTTGTGAAAAATACACATAATGTTTTCATGAAAATTTCAGGTATTACAGCTTTATTTGAAATTATGGGAGGGGGGAGCTGAATCATTCTGTCCACAACGGTACACACACACGCACACACACACACATCTATCTATCTATCTATCTATCTATCTATCTATCTATCTATCTATCTTAAGCGTTTCACCCCAAGCAAGGCCGGAAGCCACTAGCACGCAAGGGGTTACAGAGAGTTAGAGCAAGAGCAAATAGGAGTGATAGAGGAAAGGATGAAGAGATGGATAGGGGATAAATCAAGGCATCTGGAGACGTCGATTGACATTACATTTGAATAGTTGGAGTTTATAGTTATCAGGAAAACAGGAAATAAGGGAGAGAGTTCCACAGGCAAGAGGTACGAGACATGACGCTATTGGAGTAGAAGAGACGGCTACATTTAACAGTTTCGACAGTGAAAGGGTGAGAGCGAGATGCCAGCCTAGTTGAACGCTTAAATTCATGAAGTCTGGGAACTAGCGAAAGCAGCTCATCGGGGCAATTACCATGAAAGTATTTGTAAAAAAGACAGAGAGAGGCAACAGAGCGACTGCAGACGAGATGCCAGATCAGGGCCAATTACATTGCATATCCGTCTCTGGATTTTATCAAGGACCTTGAGACAAACAGAAGGGGCTCCAGACCATATATGGCAGCAATACTCCATGCAAGGGCGAATGGTTGATTTGTAGATTTGAAGGATCGATATATATATATATATATATATATATATATATATATATATATATATATATATAGACAACCTTCTCATCAACGGGCTTATAGGAAGAGGGGTTATCCGTTAAAGCTGATTGTCCGTAGATAGGATAGGATTATTTTTGAGTTATAAAACCACTATTCTAACTACCAATATTTATGATCATAATGTAAATACTACAAACATGTATATATGGCATGAATAAATACATGTTATACTGTATATATACTGTATAAATTAATAGATTTCTCACAGCTACTTTTTCACGCACGCACGCATTAATGTGTACACCCATCTTTGTTTACAATTAAAAGGCCCACCACCGGCACCAAGCGGTCACTTTGAGAACTAATACGACTCATTCCGCTAAGACTTCAAATTTTGGAATATATCGCTGATGATTTCGAAGGGTTTTTTTTTCTGGAGATTTTTTATTTATACCGGAAAGGGATATGTTTGATCGAAGTAGCTAAGTGGGTTTGGCTACTGTAACCAAGTAGTACACGGTAGCAGTAATAGACCGGTGCTCGTCGTAGTCGCAGGTAATAGGTGTAGACCAATAGAATAGCCAATGGCGTCGTCCAATGGGCGTCGTCATAGACTTAAACTCTGTCGTACCTACACGTCCGTCTGTATTTATGACGGACACCAGCCAATCATATTCCAGTGAGGGGGAACACAGGTGTATTCATTATTATATATATATATATATATATATATATATATATATATATATATATATATATATATATATGAAGAAATATACTCTTAAGGTGTGCTATATTTATGGGATAAAAGGCTCAATATCAGAGATAAAGCGTGTGTAAATATAAAAGTGAACATTGAAGTCAGTACTTAGAGGCTGTTTCATGCTAGACGCAATCGTCAGGTGGCCTGACGATTGCGTTTAGCATGAAACAACCTGTCGACTCTAAGTTTTGACGTCAATATTCACTTATATATATATATATATATATATATATATATAAACAATTTAAATGGCAACGTGCTAAATATTCCGTATATTTCTTCGCATGTAAACATGTTATCATAACCTCTCCTCTTTTGTTTAACAGGTTTTGCTAGATAGGTTAAATACTAGTTTTTCTTTTTGGCACAATGTATAAAAGGGGCCCTCATCTTAAAGTCATTTTTTAAACATCCCCATTTAATAACCGCTTGGATAAACATGTTTTTCATCTAGTTTCCCATTTATATCTCGACAGAGAAGTATTATATTCATACTTGTAACTATGACTCCATTAACAGCTCGTCATAAATGTAATTAAGTAAAAGTAATTATTAGTAAGTTCATCTTACAGATTATTACCCCTGCAGTGAGTTCAATCTTCACTCATGGCCTTATGCCAAACTATGCTTAACCTACTAAATACCTATATAATACCTTTAATTTTATTTATATGAACGATTAATAAAATTAAAGTCACTACTTGAAATTCACGCACAAACTAAATAAAGTTGTTTCTAATTTCTCCCCGCTATCTTAAAGACAGTTGAAGATTTGATTAAAGAGACTAAATTGATTTATATGTATGCCCGTGGAAATCTATTACAGAGAAAAAATGTAAATAAATTTTAACAAATTCTTAAAAAAAAATCTCTTCAAATTTGAATTTCATCAATGTAAAGCTTTTTATTTTTTTTTTTTTTTTAGCTATCTTGATGGATAGAGTTCTTTTACTTTTCCTAAAATATATCAGTAACAGGAACAAGATCTGGTAGAGATAACTGCATAGATTTACTCAGGGCACCTGCAACCAGTTTTTAATATGTTTTTAATCAGTTCACCCCAAGCTATGACGCAAGGGGTTACTGGGTGTGGAAGAGAATGAGAAGACTTTATTGAGGAGTGAGGACAATAAAAGACTGGGATCCGGAAAGCAGAAGATGGTGATAATGCCACTAATCCACAGGGGGCTTCTAGGAGTGAAAAAGAATGAGAAGACTTTAGTGAAGAGAAAGGACAGTAAACGAACAGGTTTCAGGAGGACAGAAGATGGCGATAATGCCACTAAGACACAAAGGGTTAGATGAGAGTGAAAGAAAATGAGAAGACTTTCGTGAGGAGAAAGGACAATAAAAGAACAGGAAGACAAAAGATTGAAGATTGTAGGTAGCAGGGAAGCAAGAAACCGGAAGGGTAATCCAGAGGCGAGAAGTACGAAAGAAGACACTATTAGAATAGAACTTGCGGTTACATCTATCTAGTTCAACAGTAAAACGATGAGACCTAATTGCCAATCTAGTAATGCGCTTAAATTCATACAGTTGATGTAGCAAGGAATAAAGCTGATCTGAACAATTACTATGAAATATTCATAGAAAAGACAAACGGAAACCAGGTCACGCCTGTGGGAAAATGTCTGTTGTCGAGATGCCATGTTAAGGCCAATAACATTGCATATTCTTCATTGGATTTTGTCAATAATCTCGAGATATATAGTCGGAATACCAAACCAGATATGACAGCAATATCCAATGCACGGACAAATGATAGATTTATAAATGTGCAAGATGGTTTCTGACGTGAAAAAACTGTTTGGTACGACACAGAGAACCAACTTTCCTAACACTAAACCTAGTACCTGATTCAATATAATCACTTCATTTTATGTCAGTAGAAGACGTGAGCCAAAGAAGACACAATAATTTGCTCGCCTAAGTTTAGCGTCAATCATGCTGATGGTAAGACAGAAAAGGCTCTCTATGGTGATTAAATAAAATCAGTTTTGTTTTGGATTTGTTAAAATTTGCAAGCCATTCCTTTACCCAGTTAATCACTAATTGGAAGTCATTTTTGCCAGTTTTTTTTTTGTTTTTTTTTGACGGGACGCTGATTTTCAAGGTTTGTCTTTTTAAGAAAAACAAACTGTCTTCCTAAATTACACTAGTTAGCAGTAAGTTATATAAGACAATTCCAGGAACTTGCTTACCACCGAAAAAAATGTATAAAAGCTATGTTGAACTTGACGCAGCATACGGTCGCATCAATAGAGACTTTTTTCTTTTCACCCATTAGATGCCATCTTTCGGGTTCTTAATCCACTGAATGTCTAGATCAGGCTTGATAGAGGAAATATATCGGGCCACAAAGTCCTACATACCTAGTGAAGACCTAAATACCGAATCATTTAAAACTTAATCAGGAGAACGACAATGAGGAAATGAGGGTCCCAGTCTATTTCATCTCTTCCTAGACTAAACTCTGTGCATATACAAGCACAGAAGTGAAGAGATAGGCACAGATCTTTTAAGCCTTCCAAAATGAATCTACTAACAGAAACCGCTTTCGCTTTCCGAGGCCGGAGTACTGATGTTGATTGGCGTATACTTATAACGTAAATTGAGTGATTGATTGATTCGTTTTCTGTGGCTTATCAATCCTTTACAGGTTATTTAAAGCCAGGAAACATTTTCAGATTGTATGAGTTATTTTAGATAGTAATGATTCAGTCATACGATCTTGCTAATTAACCTATTGCTGGGAGGGGGGATAGCTGAATTCATACCTTTCCCAAGGGTTTGGTCTGGAAAAGGACCTCCAATCTGTGGTTGAGTGGGTAAGGGAATGGCTTGTAAACTTTAATGCCTCCTAAACGAAACTGCTCTCATTTATCCACCACAGAGAACCAACCCTGCCTCCTATCAGAATGGCTGATGACCAACTCCACGAGAGCGTCTTTTTGCGCCTGGTTGGTCTCACGTTTTCCACTGACCTGAGGTGGAACAACTACATTGAATCAATAGCTTAACGAACTGCTTTCAATGATACGCAAACTGCATGAATTTTAGCGTGCTACAAGGTTGGCATCTCGTTCCCACCCTTTCACTGCCGAAACGGTTAAATGTAGTTGTTTCTTTTATTCCAACGGCTTCTTATCTCCCACTTCCCGACAGTGGAACTCCATCTTACTTGCTTCCTTGATAGCTCTAATCTTTTTGTCTTTTTGTTATTTCTCCTAAAGCCTGTTCCTTCATCCATTTATTCAAGCTCATTCTTTTTCTTCTATATCCCGTGTCCCTTCAGGACGCTGGCGATCATGGCTCTCCACAATTTCCCGCCCTTCATAGCTCTTAATAAATTTTTCGCAAATCCTGTTCCGCCATCCATTTACTCACTATGTATGTTATGCTTTGTTTTCCTCTGTTTTTCTTGCCTTCAATCTGACCTATGAGTATCAGATTTTTTCAAAACCCTTTTCCCTAGAACTTTCAAATGTCTCTTCCAGATATTAAGTATACGTTTCCTTCTTGTTTGCCTTTTCTCTAAAACTTTGTCATTGCTCACATGTCCTGTCCATGGTATCCTCAGCATCCTCCTGTAGAACAACATGACTGCCTCCTCAAATCTCTTCTTCAAAACAGTAACCTAAAATCTGTAGTAATCATCTATATAATACTAAAAGTCTGTGAGTGCGTACGTGCGTGCTTTTTGTGGTGCGTCCGTCCAGCACATAATGATTTACGAGTTCTTTATACAGTAATTACTTTTATTTTAACTTCAAACAGACAATTATTTTAATTAAAATATTTTTAAGTTAAAGACAGACACAAAGAGATCCCGCTTTGCCGTTTCATCCGGTTGTTTGTAGAGTAATTATTTATATTTCATCTTTCTTTAAACAAACAATATTTTGAATATTTTAAAAAATATTTTGGGGCATATTTAAAAGATATTTTCAAAAGAATATTATTTTAAAATATTTTTTGGCATATAAAAAATATTTTAAAGTTAATGTGTTTTAAAGTTCAAGTTTTTTCCAGAAGTTCTTTTCCAATTAAATGCATGAAACCAGACTAATGATGACACAAACAAATTAAAATTTTTAACTGAATCATAATAAAATTAACTTCGATTTCTATGGAATGTTGAAATCAACTCCAATGTTTTATAATCTGAACCGTCAGTGACCTAACGGGTCAAGGGTAATCTAGTCTATAGATAAAATTCTGTGACTTCTGTTAATCTGTCCGTCCTTCACACCGTCTAAAATAATTATACATTAACCGATTGAAACCAAATTTTGGAGAAAAGTGGGTACAGTATAATTTTACCAGGGGTGTAGCTTAGTACAATACATTTTCATTCATTTTGGGGGAATAATTAAAAGTTTTATTATCTAACATACAAAACACTCCCACGATTTTTGAAAAATATTTTAATGATTAAACAAATACTGATATAATAAAAAGCGCAATTGTTTTTTGCATATTTTTAAGTTTATATATATATATAAGAATCCAGTTCGCCCTGCGTTTGCGAGAACTATAAACAAATCACAAGGCCAAACGTTTCAAAAGTTGCAATTTGGCTTCAGAAAGAAATATTTACACATAGCTAGTTGTAAGTTGCATGCTCAAGAGTAAGAAATCCTAAGAATTTATTCTTCACTGTTAAAAAAGAAAAAAAGAATTTTTTTTTTCAAAAATATTGTTTACCAAAAGTCCTATAAAATTAAATTAAATTTCAGAAATTATTAAACCGCGGAGTGGGGTTTTTGTCAAAATATTTTCCCAAACAAATCCGCTTATTCAAATTTCATCGATTGGTTTGCGAAATTGAACGAAACGTAGAGTTTGTAAATCTCGACAAAAAATGTTAGCGATAATTTCAATAATACTAAATAAAGTGTGGATTTCAACATGAGTCAGGTTGTTGCAAAAAATTTTAGTGTCATAAATAACGCGAAGAGGGAAGCTAATATAATTTTACAAAACGCCAAAAAGAAAATAACAGAAATCAATTTGATTAAACTAGACACGTAATATTATCTACCAACTTTATAAAGGCTACAATTGGAAAGGTTTTATCTAATCTAATCTATTATAAAGAGATTATCTAACACAAAATAATAAGAATTATCTTTTCCCTTCTTTTCAGTCACCCACTCTGTTTATCCCCACACTCTTATTTTCTCTGTTTCCTTCTCTTCCCTCTCGCCCTCTTTCACTCTCTCTCTCTCTCTCTCTCTCTCTCACATTCTCTATTTCTGTCTCTGTCACTCTCACATTCCTTCTCTTTTCTTTTTCTCTGCCTTTGTCCCCTGTATTCTGTCTATCTCTCTTTCCGTCTCTCCTTTTATTTTTTCTCTTTATTCTTTCTCGTTATTTTTGTTACCTACACTCACTCTATACACTTTCCTCCTCCCTTTGTCACCCACACTCACTTCTTTTCTCTCTTTCGCCCTCTATTCCTTACGCACGTACGCACGCACGCACGCTATCTCTTCTTTTCTTTTTCTTTTGTAAAATCTCGGCCACTCTTTCTTTATCGCATCTTTATCTCTCTTACATTATCTCCTTTTTCTCTTCTTTCTCATCGTCTTTCTTTGTTTTCCACAACCTCTCTTTGTTTCTTTCTTTCTTTTTTATCAAGTTTTCTCTTTATGCTACTCAAACGTTCTCTCTTTTTTCTTTTGGCCGTCAATTTCCTTCAATATTGTTTCTCTTGCCCTCACTCTCTCCCTTTCTTCCTCTGTCTGTTTCTTCTCGGAGGGCAATTTGGTGAAACAGAAACCCGACGAAAGAAAAACGCTATAATTTTACAAACCTTTCACGTTTGTCAAACGCCAATAAAATATCAACGATCAGGAAAACTTGCAAAAAAAGAAAAAAAAAAAAGCCTCCAAAAAACAAAAAAACAAAAACATACAAACAAACAAACAAGCAAAAAAAAAAAAAAAAGAAAAAAAAAAAAAACAAACCAAAACAGCCAACGGTTGGGAAGAGTTACAAACGAGGAGGAAAGATAAATAAATTAAATGAATATATATATATATATATATATATATATATATATATATATATATATATATATATATATATATATATATATATATATATCGTAAATAAGCCACTGAGAATTTTATTAAAGAAAAAATTCACTTGTATCATTTTCAAGAGATTGGCACACACAAATAAAACTTATTCGAAAAATGTTTTTTATTCAATTAAGATTGTAAATTGCTAATGAGCTTACGGCCATATCACGTTGAAACACTGATCTCGTATGATCACCAAAATTAATCCACGTCGAGCATGGTCAGTACTTAGATGGGTGACCGCTTGGAAATACCAGGGGCCGTAAACTTGGATGTGCGGGTGGTGTAATAAATAATGGTCCAGAATTGTTAATCGGAGGGCAGAGTTCCAATTCCAGTTTTGCGCAAATACATTTGGAAAAATATGACTTCACCTCTTCTCCTCCAGACGTGTATCACTAAAACATTATTATCTACCAACAATTCTTTACAATCTAAAAATATTTTATGGCTTTAAATAAAAAGCAAAGGGTTGGTAAGTCGTAAAAACAACGAATCAATCAAACCCCCAAAACTGTTAATGCAATATTCGCTCGCAAAAAAATAAAGGAATTTATTCTTACAATCTAAGATATAATTCGGGTTTAAATAACCCACGAAAGGTTGATAAGGCGTAAAAAACACATACATCGATCTGATTGTTGTTTTGGGGGAAGATAAGAATTGTTTGGAAATTTTCTTGAAATAGACATCGCTTTTGTTTTCAAATCTGGAGTGGTATATCAAGCGATATTGTTGAAAAATAAATTACCTCAAGAAGACATCCACAACTTCCCCTTTCTGAAGCTATTTCGGAAAAAGAGAAATAATGTCTATTTGTAAAAAAAATTAAAGATATAAATTATTCTATATATATATATATATATATATATATATATATATATATATATATATATATATATATATATATATATATATATATATATATATATATATATATATACCTATATATATATATATATATATATATATATATATATATATATATATATATATATATTCTCTCTCTCACTCTCTCTCTCTCTCTCTATCTATCTATCTATCTCTCTCTCTATATATATATATATATATATACACCCAAGTATAGGATTGGTTTATACGGAATAAATTCAATAACCAACAATATATACTCCAAGAAGAGATCCACAACTTCCCATTTCTGTAGCTGTTTCGGAAAAAAGAAAAAGCGATATAATTTATATTTTTTAAATAATTAAAAATATAAATTATACAGTTAAGACGATGGATATTAGATAGCAGTTTTCTTTGTTTCTAACATAAGCCTATATATATATATCAACACTTAGAGGCGACACTCTGTTTCATGCTATATGCAATCGTCAGGCCACATTGCATATAGCATGACGATTGCATATAGCATGAAACAGACTGTCGCCTCTAAGTGTTGACTTCTATGTTCACTTTTATATTTACACACGCTCTATCTCTGATATTAAGCATTTTATTCCATAAATATAGCACACCTTAAGACTATATTTCTTTATATATATATATAAATTTTAAATAATATTTATTATCTCATTGGGATGTTTTTTTTGTTTGTTTTTTCCCTAACTCCCTAACGTGAGATGATGTGGTATTTTGGTGTATGAAGGATTGATTGACGATGGATGAGTTTTTATGGTGAATGAGGAAATTGTAACGAGTGAATGAGTCCTGAATCCGATTAGCTAGGGTATAAGATAATAAGTGAAGACCAGCCTCAACCCACTCCCTCTTTTCGGCCTTGTGCCATAATTGTATTAATTTACAATTAATCTCAACATCAGTATAAAAATCTAGACGCTTGATAGCGTCATCGAACATTTATAGTTTGCCATACGTCATGTATTCAAACACTGGTGACTTGCTGCTAAAAAAAGTGAATTAAGATGAAAAAGATTAATTTCAGTTGTGTCGGTGGAGACATCGATTGAGGACAAAAGTTTTATGACATTAGAGCGGCACTGTTAAATCAGTTCGAGATCGATCTTCAATCTTAGCCGTAATCAAGCAAGAATATTAACTTTTTCAAAGAGACGAATTTCAAAGTGCTTTTCGTGCGTGGCGTATAAAAAACAACAACATCATAACAAACATCTTCCAATAAACAGACTCTTTGATAACGGTATTCGAAAATTGAAAATTCGAAAATTGAAAATTCGGAAATCATGTTTCAGTTCTAGAATAGTGACGAACCATCAATTAATTTTTTCTTTATAATTGTTATTTATTTTTTTTAATGATGGAAACCTTTTTTAAAAAAAACAAAAAAAGAAAGAAATTTTAAAAAAATCCACTTTTATTTGAATTAAAAAAAAAATCAAATTACATGAATAAAAAAAAAAACGACTTTGATTTTTAATTGCTTTTTAAAATCGGCACCTTGAATTCTACTACGTTCTTTCTCGGCTTTTAAAATATTTTAATTCTCTATTGGGGAAAATAACTTAAACATTCCTTTTATTTTAAATTTTAAAACTGATAATCACTACTAACAAAAGCCCTTTTAACATTTTCAGAAACTGAGTTTCATTTTCGCTTAGGTGTCTTCCAGCTAAAAGGTTTTGATAGCTTTGTTTTTATTGTTCAAACGATCAATATTTGAAGTACATACATATGAAAAAAAATAACGATTTAATCGGAGCAGAATAACAACTGCGTTTCTCGTAGTATCATATGTGCCCCAGAAATTATTGGCAGTAACTCATCCCAAATTATTCTGCAATCATTAAATACAGATCGATAGTAAACAGATGGAATGTTTACAAGCTGATAGGCTATCAATATTGAACACAGCCATTTCGTTCTTATTTTTTAAAATTTTTTAGGCTTTAATTTTCACGAAACCTTTCACAATCTTCAAGAGTTAGCCACAGAATAATAATAACCTAAGAAAGAAAGGAAGCACATCACAAGTGAAAGCGAATGAAGAGAAGCGACAAGAAGAGAAGAAGCAAATGTCAAGAGTGAGGGAGAAAAGGAATGTAATGAGAGACTGAAAGAGGGTTTTGAATTGGTCGAATACCTGTGCAATCCAAGGTGAAGACAGGTCAACATGATGTAAACAATTCGATGCCACAAAAGTCACGTACAAACGAAGTCGCAAGAAATCTTTTAAAACTATCTTATCTTACTAAATTATAACGAACTCTAAGTATTTTTATAATGGGAAACGAGTTTATATTTATTAAACTGTTTCAGCAAATTTAAGTGATATTTTATCAAATTTAAGTTTTTTTTGTATTTTTTTTTTTTTTAAGCATTTCACCTCATGCAAGGCAGGATGCCACTAGCACGCAAGGGCTACAAGGAGTGGGAGCGAGAGTAAAGCGGCGTGATAGAGGAAAAGATGAAGAGAAGGTCAGGGAATAGATCAAGGCATCTGAAGATGTTGATTGATATTACATTTGAATAGTTGGAGAATTCCACAGACGGGAGGTGCGAGACATGAAACTACTGGAGTAGATTTTATTAAATTTGTGATATTTTATTAAATATATTTTGCAAAAAATATTTTATGTTGGAAGTGTGCTAAAGTTAGTATCGTTTATATTTAGAAAAAGAATAAAATGATTTTCAACTGTGTATCCAGTGTCTAGTTTTGTTGAGTTAAATTTAGTACATACGGTATATATATATATATATATATATATATATATATATATATGAAGAAAAATTTGGAAAAAACAAACAAAAATCCTTAAATGCAATTATGATTCCGTGAATGTATTAAAATATTTTCATAATAAAAATCTCAGGAGGATTTATGAAGCAGGTATAATATCCATCTCACGCACGGTGAATACTAGACCTGGTTTCTTTAATATTTCCCCTTTTTTAGCGAGATTAATGCTCGACAATCATACACATAAAAATATTAGATCCTAATAGAATTCTTTTCATTTTCTTTTTCATTCAAAATAATCAAAAATTTTTAGGAATACGTTTTGAAAGCGTCGCCCATGTGACGACAACATGACCATGCTTAAACGGAAAGATGATCATTTAAAAAATTTTCAGTTATCTGTTTTGGATAAGACTTGTTTTTTTATGTCCATCGTCTTTGTCAAATTGAACTGAATTGTATTTTAATGAATATTGTCCTGAAGAAGGTTTATTAAACCGAAACGTCAGACGTCGACATTTCATTCATTTTAAACAACATAATTGCATTTAAGGATTTTTGTTTGTTTTTTCCAAATTTTTCTTCATTCTGTCGGATCTATATCCATTTACATTTGCATATATATATATATATATATATATATATATATATACTGCTGCATTATAACATGTAAGTTACTACTACAAAATTTTACATTTCGTTTCGACGTTGAATAAACAACGTCTCATCAGGTAGATAACAATGGTTAACTATCGGATGAGATGTTGTTTATTAAAAGTCGAAACAAAATGTACAATTTTGCAGTAGTAACTTACATGTTATAATGTAACAGTGTATAATAAATATTTATAGCTCTACTATTGCATTGAGCCCTGTGTTAAATTAATGTTTTGAACGTTGGAATTGTATTCTTTGTTCTTTTACATTTGGATATATATATATATATATATATATATATATATATATATATATATATATATATATATATGATAGGATAAAGAACAAGTAGGAAACAGATTTTAATCTCTTCAACTAACATGTTTCATTTTATTAAAGCTTTGTTAGAGATCACGATAAAAATGATAAAGATTATAAAAAGAGACGCAGATTCAGATTAATGGGATCTAGTGTTTGATTATTTCTTATTGGTTAGACACATGTCACATGTAATGAAATAACATAATATTCAAATATGTGTAAGAAAACATTCTGGATGCTAAAGTGTGTAAAGTTGGTGAGACGTTGCAGAATGTTTTAAAATATTTTGCTTTGGTGTGATTTTTCATTTAAGCATGTCTCGTGCGTTTTTTCTGTATATGTTCATTGATTTTATATATTTGGAAGAGATTAGTTAGATTCATAATGGATCCGTAGAAAAATGACGTAATGTAGTTTTTTTTTTAAACGTTTGTAGACAACCAACATAGCATTAATCTGCGTCTCTTTTCTTTTTAATCATTTTTTATCATTTCTTTATTGATCACTGACAAACTTTTAATAAATTGAAACATGTTAGATTAAGATCTATTTCCTACTTGTTCCTTATTCTATCACTTTGTCGGATTCCTATCCATACTCGATTCATATATATATATATATATATATATATATATATATATATATATATATATATATGTA